TCTGTACTTACGAGCGGAGCCGGTACGTACTTACGATTCTGGTAACTTTACGAGCGAGCCGTACGTACTTTAGATTCTGTACTTTACGAGCGCAGCCGTACGTAACTTACGATTTCTGTACTTTACGATGTGAGCCTGTAACGTACTTACGATTCTGTACTACGAGCGAGCCGTACGTACTTACGATTCTTGTACGTTACGAGCGAGCCGTACGTACTTACGATTCTTTGTACTACGAGCGAGCCGTACGTACTTACGATTCGTACTTACGAGCGAGCCGTACGTACTTACGATTCTTACTTACGAGCGAGCCGTAGTTACTTACGATTTCTTACTTACGATGCAAGCGCGACCGTACTTACGATTCTTTTACTTACGAGCGAGGCCGAAGTGCAAGTGTGAGGAAGGTAAGCTGCTTTGCGGGAGAATGGGAGGAAGCCGGGTTGCAGGGGGTCGACGAGGCGCGTAGATTGAATGCCTGGACGACTAAATGCACTAATCAACGCTGTGAAATGCTTTGCTCACTTATTTAAATGGGCAGTCTACAGTATTTCTAGCAAGTGAAGCGAGAAACTACATACTCCTGTTGCTCAACTAATTTTATATTTTTAGAATCCTCGCTACCTGTACTGTCATCTTAAATCAAAAATCTTGTTCGAGGGTGGTTGGCACTTTTCAGTTGGGGTTAGTTGGTACAGCAGTCATTCAGCTGTCACGCAGGACACGGCCTTTGTTTCCGCAATGAAAGTGAGTGGCATAAGGTATGGTATGATGCCCGCTCCCGGTCACCTACCTTCATCCCAAGAGACACTACTTCTACTATGGCCTTTGGCCGACATTTCTTCAAGCTGCCCAGTGACGGAATTTGTGACACTGCGGCGATATATTCTTTTCCAGGAGGGAATTAATTTTCAGATTGTATTTCCTACGTTCACTATAGTCGAAGTTTAGGTTCACTATAACCGAGACTTCTTATGCTTATTTGTAATGTAAGTGAAACGGGACCAGTGACTTAAGTTCACTAGAACCGAGGGTTCACTAAATCCGAGTTCACTATAACCGGTGTCTACTGTACGTAAATACATAATTCATAAATACATCATTTTAGTTCACTTAAATTGCAACTTATTCTGATGTCTGCGTTGCCTCCATTGGAGTTCTCCTGATATCGGAACGACCTTGGCATGCCAGTGAAAAAGCCAACTCAACAGATTCGTTAGTTGGCCAATAGCAAGCGACTTCCATAATCCCGACAAGCTGAGACGCTAGCTGAGAGGCGAATGATTGCTTCCCAAAAGACAGACCCAAATGTTTGGTAAATAGCAAGAAACTCTTCCCTCTATACTTCAATTACAACTAAGTCTGTTGACACTTCGTTAACTGTGACGCTGTCATCCAATCGGGAGCGTCATCGTTACTATACTAACAAATTGACACACAACCTTATATGAATTACATTGAAATAACACGCAATCTTATATGAATACATACTGTTTTTGACAAATCGGTATTTTCAATCTTTAAGTAATACAAAAAGTACGAAAATGCGGAAGGATGAAAAACAGAGGTTAGGAAAAAACACTGCAAAGGGTTTGTGAATATTTGAAATATGTTTCGCATTTTCAAATACCTAGATACCTTTCCTTCCTGGAGCGTTCGCTAGCAGGGGGAGCGCTGCGTGACCTTGAGTGGCGGACTGTTACATTCAAAATACCCGTTAAATCCTAGTCGCAAAAAAATCAAAATTTCTCAGAAGAAATGCTTATCTAACACATGACAATGTGTAACATCATTGGATTTGTCTTTTTACGCTCGTCATGATAGACTGAAAAAAATTGTACTGTTTTATAAAAGAAACAAAGTTACCTCACATATCTTGTAAAAAAACAACTGATAAAATGGAAATGAATGCATATTTTAATTAGCCCTCTTCCCTTATGTACGTCCGTGACAACTGCATTGCAATAACTTTAAACGTTCAAAAATTAAAGGAGGTGCTAAAGTTAGGCGACTCTCCCAGTATATGTATGTATTATCCACGCACGTTTTCTTCAGCCCTCGCTTCGCTAGATGCGAGAGGAGCGGGGAGTTTTGTTATTTTGACAAAAGGAATTTTACGTCGAATTTGTAGTTCATTTTTCCATGCAAAATAGATTTTAATGCAAGGGAGCGAGTATTCCTCGTCACCAGATTTTGTCTACAATTCGCATTGCTATCTTTTATTCTTAATGCAACGAATGTTGGGAAAGGAGTGGGGGTAGATATTCTGGGATTCACGAAAACGTGCGGATATAATACATAAACAAGTAGGAACACAAAGATAATATAAATTATAAACAAGGTAAACTATTTATCATAAAATGATAACAAAATTGTAATACTAAGTTTAATATTTAATTAATACTTTATGGTTTTAAATTCAAAAAGTAATAATTTGTTATTAAAATCGTTGCATTAAAAGCTGGAATACAAAAAAGGATTAGGATATTATAGTTTTCATTCTGATACAGATGTGAACAGATATAATTTAAATTTAAAAAAACATATCTATTTACTAGTATTATCTTGTAATATTCGTATTATTCGCTTACATACAAACATTACTGTCCAGGATTGAAGAAAGTCGACAGAATTTCACAAAATATGTCACAAGTCTCTTCTTGTTTTCTTTTTTTATTCGATTTTTCCTCTTTTCTTCTTCTTCTTTAAAAATATCTTCTTTTTCTTCATAAGTACTTCTTTCCGCGCAATCTATAGGCGTATGTAAGCGATCCACACTCCTGTTCTTTTGGTTTGGTCACACTGTAATTGCGCGAAGATTCACAACGGCACACGATCACACATTGGGCACCTAAAGCGAGATCTTCCTCCGTCAACCACACTCCAAACATTGAACTCCTCGTTCGCCACACTCCAAACATTGAAGTCGCCGTAGCACCGCTTGTCAAGTGGAGTAAGAAAGAGATATGAGCTGAACCACGCCTCTGGAGAACAGTCAAAGACATTATACATACGTACCACTGAGCTAAAGTACAGCGAGATTCAGGAACTAAAAGGCTAAGAACAGAACGCGCTGTTACTTTATCGATATATTTCAGACGTTTCTACATTTTTTTCTTGTGTTTTCAGCATTTTTACCATTTTACTTTTTTCTCTATTTGGGGGGGGGGGTAGGATATGGCCTCTCCTTGACCACCACAGCGATTACATCAGTAACATAGCGAACTGCTTGAGTTTCGCATTGCATTTGTTCTGATGAAAAATTTCACGCTATTTTTCTTTGATTTTAGGGCATTTAAAAACATTTAAATAGTATTTTATTGATTGTTTGTGGCTATGTTTTAAGTCATTAAAATCCACCCTCTAGTCATTATATTTCCCAAACCCCAGGATACTATTTAAATGCTCGACTATGAGTCGAGTTTGATCGATAAATTAAGATGAATTTTATTCAAAATGTTTTGGTCGAATGTGTCATATTACAGATTATGTAGAATGACGCAGGGTAAACTGACCTCATGCTGTAATAGATATTATTCGTATTAATGATTATCTAATTTATATTTTTGCTTGAAAGTTTCGTGACAAGTTAAAATTAATAGTAACTTGTTCTTGTCGGGGGGATTTCCCTCATGGATCAACGCCTCTCTTTCTAGCAAGGTTGATTTGAGCTTCTTTGAGAAGGAGACTTCAATTCGCCGGCTGCTCTGTTCGGTAGTTTTCAGTGGTTTCTCCTATTAACACTAGACGTATGCTGGAGCAGTACCCTCACAAACGGGTCAACGATCGCGCGCAACTTTTTCTTTCTCTTTCTTGTCTTATCCGCACCCTTTACACTCACACTTACATGCATTACACTAGCACACATGTCGGGAAACCACGCAGACGCTTAGAGCTTTTCCCGACTGTGGCGGTGCTCTGCTGGTGGGCGATTCCAGATTGGGGAAAACCCCTACAAGCCGACGAAGGCGCCGAATCTCGGCATTCGGCGGGGAGGTTCATCTCTCCCTTGTAATGGTAAATGCACCTACGTACATATGAAGTACGCATTGCTTAAGAAGAGCAATGAATATTTCTTTCAAACTGTATGTGAAAGAAATATCACCCTTCAAACATGTTTAAATTAGGGTCGCGTCTGGCGCAGGCGCCCTGCCTGAGGTCATGGGTGATTGGGCTCCCCAAACCGCTGTCAACGCTAACACGATCCAGACGTGGAAACAGGAATGTTTGGGAACTTGTGAGTTTTCAAAAGGGCAAAAGTCCTCTGACAGTTATGTCAGTTTATTGCGTCCAGAGCATGCCGAGTTCTGGCGGGGGTGGCGTAATGGCCTCGTAAATCTCCCTGTTTCCCATATAAGGATCCTCTAGCGTTGATATCGGACAGACAGCCCAGAGACTTTGCTGTGTAAACTTCACGCTGCTCTGCAGCTCTACTTCTTCAATTAAACTTATTTTCATACTTCATCGGACTTGGTCTCTGTACTTGAAACCTCGCTCACCACCACGCTCCTCCAGGGAACTTAGCTTCCCTGCGAACTCAACTTTTTTGCATCCTATACTGGAAGCATTTGTAATTGCCTGCAATCGCTGCTAGTAGCACGACACCTACAGCGAAAGGCATTACACCCTCCCGCGATAAACGCATGACTTCTGGGTCGAATGACCTTAGCAGTTGACGCGCCCGGAAACACTAACAATCAATGAATTAAAAAAGAACATGTGAAAATGACTGTCTGTTTTTTTAAATGACGCAAAAGATAAGGGGACCCCGTCCACTGCGCGGCCTGTGGTGCGGCAGCTAACAGCTGCGCCGCTACCGCAGCTGGCCGCTCCCTCAAGGACACACTTCACATCTTGAGCGCGGCGGGCCCCCAGCGCCCTGGGAATAGAAAGGTCAACCCCTCCTTCCCTGCACCTGGCGGAGCGCAGCGCTCCTCGCGGCGGCGGGCTGCGACCGCGTGCGCGCCTGCGCGGACGACGCGAGGGCGCCAGTGATGCGGGAGACCACGGCGGGAAGCGGCACGTGGACGCACGCACGCGAATTCTGGACCCGCCTGCTCGGGGGCGGCGCACCGACTCTTCGAGGTAAGCTTCTAGGCGGAGAGTTAATTTGACCAGTTTTACATGAAAAAGGCCAACTGGGGGCTGCACGTTCACGCGATACACCACATTCTCGAGGAGAACATCCTCGTCGTTTCTGTCATTAATGTCATGCGTAAGGAATTCCTCGTTGGGTCTCGTACACACGTCGTACGAGATCAGTGGGGCTTGGGGGGAGTACTCGAGAAAGGTTCTCGGAATTTTCGGCTTCCGACAGTCCGAAAAACTAATGTTCCATGACACTTGTGTAACTAAAATTATATTCTAAGTCGCTGAATCTTTTCCATGGAACATGATCTATGGGTCATTCCATGGAAAACATGGGGTCGTCAAAACTCGATCTCCCAAAATTAGCTTTTTTTACAATTGCTTCCGCGTAGTGTAAATATGTTTTCTGTGAAATAGTAATCAATTATCCCCGATTGTTGCATCACAATGAATGGTTAAAGTTCTACGTATTCGCATTACACGTCCGTATTATTTTTTTTCTGATTATGTTAAGCGACATTTTGATTTTCAAAACGACATTTGTTAGAGTATAGATAGACCGATGATTATACTTCTTATTGATATTTTGCGTAAAATTGTTATTAATAGCTTAAAACATTATTAAAGTATTAATAATTGAAAATTCAATGTTTTAATTTAAACAAAAAAACAACATTGAACGATAAATATTTGTAGACAATCCTGAAAATTTCAAGACGGGACCATAAAAAATTAAAACTTACCGCGACAGCGCGCCCCTTCCTCTTTCAACGATGCACCACGCCTCATCGTGTTTGCACTCTCATTGAAGAGTCCCCGTGTTCACATTTGCGTCGAATTACAACTTGTCTGGGAGATTCACATAAAGATGAAAAATGTTTCATAGAAATGTAGATTTCATTAACTGGGATAACACAATGAAAACCTTGTGTTCCTGGAATAGTTTTTAGTCTCGCAAGCCTCTCCTGTAACATTTGAACTTCCTCTTCGTGATCAACTTTCCTTGTGATACTAAACACGACTCCTTGAATATTACATTTTGCCCTTTGGTAGTTATTTTTGAGTGGAGATGTGAGCCCCTTGGGGACTAGCGTACGCAGCTAACCTCTTGACTGTACCTCCTACGCCGTCACAAGGTTCTTTGGTAGCGAACACAATGCTTTTCTGCCTAAATGCCAAAATATTTTTTGTGATTCGCAATACTTGAGAAATTATTTATTGTTTTGTATTGCCCTGCGGCTCAATCACTGAAATACATTTTCTTAATTTCAGAAAAATCTTCTTGCAAGTATTGTAAGAGTTTCTTATGAAATAAGTGTACTCCTGGGCCGCCACGAGTTAATCTGATGTTATTGACAAACAAAGGCTCGATACATATTCTTCGTCACTTGTAGATTTGCTTACCCCGGTTTCTTTTTCATTTTTAACAACAGAAATGTTCACAGTCATTTTATGACAACAGCCATCACAAATTGAATCACCAACCAATAGGTGCGGATTCTATTTACGCATTTCCTCAGTCACCTTTTTCCTGACTTGATTGGAATGCTTTTGAAGTTTAAAAGGGTGGCTGCAACCCAAAAGTATTCCACCTTTTCATTTATTTCGGCTTATTAAATAAAGCTTTTAATATGCTTTTTTTTTACCTTTCAATACACAATTGGACCACAAGGAATATAACTTACTCGCCCAAAGATCAGAGTTTCACACAAGCAAGTTCCCTAACGCAAAGAACTTCGCCCCACTACATTCAGCCAGTGAGGAAAGTGTCGTGGACAAAGACTTTTATTGCTATACGCCTAATCAGCCCTTCCTGAGGGTTCCCCTTGTACCCGGCCTTCACGCCCATCACTCAGACCGAGTGTTGAACACAGCAGCTCGATGTGCGAGCGATTATGGCCCTTAAAGACAAACAACGCTGATATTCATTAATTTATAACAAGAACACTTGAAGGAGTCCCGTGATGAAATTTGAACCATAAATAAATCATTTAATGATCTTTATATACGGAAAAATTCATCTTATTCAAAACATTGCATTTTAATTATTAATATTTGTAGTAATTTTGCATCAATTTTTGCGAATATTATTAACAATTATTTCGATTAATTTACCTCCATTTCATCGTATATGTATCAACTTTAAATTGGTACTTCGTTTGTTCTCTTACGAATAGAAGTGTATTTATTATGAAATATTTTTGAAAGTCTTGCAAGTGCAGTACCTGCATTTTTTTATTGTTGTAGCCAATCCTTGCAAGTTAGGAGTCTTAAAATTGCCTTGACTACCTATTACTATGTTAATCAAATACTAAAGTATGAAAAGCAATCAAGAACGTTTCCTTCAAAATCCTAAAATTTTGGAATGAATGACCCCTATTAATTTATTTTTGTTACCGATACTGGGGTGACCTTCAAACAAGTTTGTGGAGTAGATTTGCAATAATGTTTTCAAACAGCAACCGAACATCCACTATTATGTTAAATTCAAAATTTTCTGGTGGTGGTAGTAGTGATGATGATGATGATGATGATGATAGCGTTGAAATGCAGTGATGATCTCTTGCTGCCAGTGGAGGTGATGGTAATGTGACATTGATGCTGATTCTAGTTTGCTGGTGATAGTGGTATGGTGTTGACTTTAGAGGGTATTTTAATACGATGGTGTCCGTTTCAGAGTTGGCGAAGTGCGCTTTGATATTTGACTATTGTCAGTGCAGATCAGAAACAGAGTGACAATCGACTATACAAAACAATGGTCAGGCCATGCATTATACAACTCATGAAAAATACATAATATTAATAATAATAATATTAATAATAATAATAATAATAATAATAATAATAATAATAATAAACTAATTGTATCCGTGCATAAACTCCGCAATTCGTAAATTTAAAAGTCAACAAGTGGTCATTTAGCCGCATACTTTCTTGCATGATTTGTATCATTGACGCTATACTCCAGGGCAATCTAAAACTGGTCCAGAAAATAAATACTTCCTCTAATATGTCGTGTCGGAATCCAAGTTTTGTAGGTCCTGGACACCGAAAAATCGTTTGGCAGCTAAACGCCTGTCCATCCGTCCATCCATCTGTGGTTAACGCTAGCGCCTAAACCGTTCAGCCCACTTTCTCCAAAACTGATATTTCTCGATCAATTTGAACGATCTCGAGGCTTTGGGAGTTTCACACGAATATTTTGATTTTTGTCTTAGGCTTATCGAGGCTTAGATTTGGGAAATGTGAGTTCTCGTCGAAGTGTGACTTTTCGCAGGCAGGCAAGACGCTTTGCTGGTAATGTAATTAAATTGTGTGTAAGTGAAAATGAAAGTAATCAAAAGAAACATGTATCGAGTGTCACTTTATAATTAAAAAATAATGACATCAGAAGCAGTTGATAAAATAACAATACAAGATTAGAAAAAAAGCTAACATACCAATAAAATAGAAAAAGAATACTAGAATAGGGATGCCTTGCTTGAAAATTATGTTGATGCCCCTGTGCCTGTCCGGAAAGTGGCAGTTCATTTCAGTGGCAGTCCGGAAAGAGGCAGAATATTCATTTAGTGAAATGGATACTCTTTCAGATACCAGCCAGGAAACTCTTACAGCATCAGAGACTGATACTGCTTCTACGTAATCAGCTGATGAAATATAACTTCAGAGACACGTTATGCAAGATTTGCATTTCCTGTTTTAGTTTTGTCGTTTTAAATGGCCTTTTTTTCACTTTTTACCTTTCTATTTTATTTATTAATTTTTTTCCAACTGCACATCTCATTAAGAGCAAGGGCCTCCTGATCACGCAGGGAATTATTAATCAATGTTTTAATGAAGTGATAGGATGATGATGAAGGGTGAAGGAACGATCACAAATGCATCCATGCCCGACACGGGTTTCGAACCTGAGATCCTTCGATACAAGATCGCCACGACACTACTACCTGAGCAATCTCGGCTATCCGGATCGACACTTTTATGTTACTAGAATATAATAAAAAAAAATTCTTTTTTTATCTAATTTTTATTACTTTTTCGTTGAATTTAAACATTTTGTATTCTTCTTTATTCATTTTTTTTAAAGAAGACTTTAAGCAATTTGTTATGTATGCAATAAAGTACCAAAACTTCACTGTCGTATCAACAATTTTCTTCATAATGATGGTAGTTGCTTCTTACATAAAAATAATTTATTTGGTATATATTCTGAGAAACTGCTTAAGTTCAATTAAACGATTTATGTGCATGTTACAGTACTTTTCATTAAATTTTCTACTCATCGAAGGAATTTTCATTCATTCTGCAGAGAAAAGTAAAATTTTATTTATTCCAATACGAGGTCCAGACATATCGCTAAGGTTGTAGAGCCGTAGTTGCCTCGGCTCGAAGAATCGCGGGTTCGAATCCCGCCTGGGGCATGGATGCGTGTGTGTGTGTTTGTGTTGTTCTACAGCTGCTCCAATGTAAAACACTCAAAGTGGTCGCTGAATGACCAAGTAGTTAAAAAAAGACCTAAAATGCTTTCATGAAATTGAAAGAAAACTTTTTGTTGGGTGGTTTATATGCTGCAATTAGAAATATGTTAGACGAGACCAAATCGATCTGGATAATAATTGTTTCTATTCTGTTAGACGATGGGTACTGTATCAGTATATGTTTAATTGTCTTTTTGACGAGAATTGCTGATGCTATTAAAGTAATTCTATCACTGCGGTAGGGTAAATGTTCGGGAATCGAAAGTATTTCTTCTGACTTTAAATGTGCTTCTGAAATACATGCAACGTTTACGTCATAGACTTGTAGAAAGTATCTTAATTAGTTCTCTTGACGCTTTACGCCATTTGCAGTCCAGTTAGAAGTTTAAAGTTTTCTATTTTATTATCATTAATGTGCTAGTAATACGCCTTTCAACCATTTGTTGTAGCTTAGGAATGATGGGAGAAAAAATATTGTTTTTGGTTTGAATTAGCGTTTCGTTTATTACATTCATATTT